CCCACACCACCACTAAGTGGCTTTTTGGACCAGATTTCCATGATTTCTGACCCCGTTTGGGCGGCATGATTCTTGATCTAGGCGGAACCATTGCCTGGGTCCCAGAAAATTTAAACAATAGGCATCCAAGGGAGGCTCTGGTGTATTGTTGAATGGTTGGCTGTCTCCAGGGCGGCCACGCCGACCTTCATGCTGAAAGGGGAACAGACAGCACCAAACACTGGAATTCCAATATCTCAGCAAGTATTCCAAACAAAACACAACCGAATGGATCCCCGAGTAGGTATGATCACTGCCGAGCTTTCCAGCACATGTTGAATGTGAGGCATTGGCCCTCTTGACTTTCTGCCGACCAGTTTCTGCAACCCAACAGAACCAGCCGAGCGAAACAGGGTAGATTGTAGTGTAATTGAGACAAATAGAAGTATGAATCGCCGCTTCAGCCATAGTCCATGTATCAAATATGCTTGCCACAACATTTTCGGCGGTTTTTACTTCTCTGGGCGTCCACACTGGCTTGTCCAAACGAGGGGAACAATCGCACCATGGCACCTTGATGTGCTCCAAATCGTCAATTTTGGTAGCTGGGACCCGCGAACGAGTCTCCGTGTAGATCTTGCGTTGATGGTGACGGTAGATATGAGCCGCATTCGGCAAATACGTCTTCTTGACACCTCTCCGTCCAGTCCAAGCAACCAACAGAACCAATCATGGTGGATTATTGTGTGATTGCGGCCAAGCAAAATCTATTCAACATAATTACCGCCGCTCCCTACGTAACATATATATCAAATATGCTTGACACAACCTCTGATTCCACTTTCTCTACTCATGGGGGCCAGGCCGTGCAATTTCATTGTGACCGGCGAATTTGCAACTCAATGGTCTCCGTTGAAAATCGTCGTGTAGCAACCCAGATAATGCACATGAAATGGTGGCATTGCCTTTAGTATAATAATTGAAGCAACTTCCGCAGAAAATTCTAGCTCTATGTTGCCTTGGGACTTCGTAGACGTCCCGAAACCTCTCCAAAAGTAGTTTTCAGACGTTGTTGAAGTTCTTTAGCAGTGATTTCAGAGGTGAGAGGGGCAAATGCATCCATATCGCTTCATACAAACAAGATGGATACGATCACGATACAGAGAATGTCCGCGACCCACGAGTTTTCCTCCAGAGGGTGATGCTTTCCTCGGCCTCGAGGCTCACCATTGCCGATGGAAGGGAAAATTGATGTGATTGAAGAATTCTCAACGGGCGAGCGCATTGAGGTGCGCGATGGGTTCGGAGACTGATGACGTACAGAAAATACCACGTTCGCGCGCAAATTTTACCAAGCGCCTCGTAGAATTTTTCGTAGAACCAAAATGGAACCAAAATGGCATCCCAGACATCACCTTTGTCAACGTTACCAAGTGCCGATACTACAGTACTGAGGGAATACGTAACAAAGCTGGCCTATAACCTACATCCAAGCATATACTACATTAACTCGACTCTTCGTCTTATTTAATTCATCCCACTCTCTTCGCCATTCTCATCAACATCTTCATCGATTGCCATCAGCAACTGCCACTGCAACACGAAACCATAGTAGCTCTCCAACATAACAATCAACAGACCTTAGACCTTGGGGACAAAGGAAAGGAAGGGAAGGGAGGAGGAATCCTTCA